ACAGACTTCTGTCCAGGTTGTTGGGATAGTAGGCAAAGTAGAATGGAGTTGTATATTCCGATATAGGCATTCTTTTCTGCCTGGTAGGCTCCCATCCCTCCTACCCACCTTGCAAACTCCTCTTCGTTCTCCAGGCTCAAGCATAGTTCCCTGGTGAAGCCTTACCCACACATGAGGTGAAATTAGGAACTTTCTCCTCTTCTCAAAAGTCGTAAAGTTGTAAATCTATGTTTATTGAGATGCACTTATTTAAAAATATAACTATTTACTCTTTTTTTTTTTTTTTTTTTTTTTTGAGACGGAGTCTCGCTCTGTCGCCCAGGCTGGAGCGCAGTGTCCGGATCTCGGCTCACTGCAAGCTCCGCCTCCCGGGTTTACGCCATTCTCCTGCCTCAGCCTCCCGAGTACCTGGGACTACAGGCGCCTGCCACCTCGCCCGGCTAGTTTTTTGTATTTTTTAGTAGAGACGGGGTTTCACCGTGTTAGCCAGGATGGTCTCGATCTCCTGACCTCGTGATCCGCCCGTCTCGGCCTCCCAAAGTGCTGGAATTACAGGCTTGAGCCACCGCGCCCGGCCACAACTATTTACTCTTGACTATGGGTTTTGGATCTTACTCCTGCACTATTCCCACGACTTATCCCTGAGGCTGGCACATAAAAACATATCACAATAAATATTTGGTGGATGAGTAAATAGAGGTTGAATCCATGGATTTTAAGGAGCATCAGTCCCCACAAACAAACTGCTGTAGTTTAGTCTTGGTGGTTCTTGAAAACGAGGACTTTTTTATATATTTTTATATAAAATTCATCATTGCCCTCTGAACATTCCATTTATAACTGTCTAATATCACTTCATCAAGTTGTCAATAAACAAAGAAAACTTATCTCATTACTGATTGGATTGTATACCTAGCATAACACAAATGAGGTATCTGTTACATTTTTTTCTATTCACAGATTAGGAACCATTGTAATTTGTAGCATTTCCTACAGTCTCTGCCGAAAGTCATGTTTCAATGTTTATTTTCTGGTATCTATCCTAGTCAAAAGTTTCCTTTAAAAAAGTCCAAGGAAGATTTGAAGAAAATCTGAAGAAAAAAAAAATACAATCCCCATCTCTTTCACTCCGAGAGCCTGTCCCAGAAAACATTTAAGAAATGAATTTCTAGGAAGTGGGGGGAAGGTGACCAGGCAATATTATACCAAGTGCAGTATAATAGGTCATTTTCTCCTAATAAAAAATGTCAATTCATACTGTTTAATGAATATCTTTTTGAACTGACTAGATTATCTTATATTGCCTACCCCTAAGCAGTATTTCAATCCTATAAATATCCTGATCCCTTAAAAATGTTTCCACATAACTGCATTAAAATCTTAGATGAACATGACACTAAAAATATATGCAAAAATTAAGAAAAACAATGCCCAAATTGTATTTTTTAAAATGCCCAACTGACAATAAAATACATAAATCCAACTAATTCAGAATTCTATTTGATCATTTCAAAAGATAATCTACATTAGGAAACTTTTTGAGCAAAATACTTTCCATATAATTTTCTTATACAAATTATATCAAAAATATACATTTTTAAATGTGCTTCTGACCCTAAATAATTAAGTAAACCTCTCTCTATCACTCTTACCCCACCTTGCCCCGGAAAAACGGGAAGGCTAATGCAAAGGGAGAAAATATCATTGAAGTATCCATGTATTTATTTATTCTCTCACAGCTCTTGCTTCCCCTGCCTGCCAGCTCCAAGGCTTCAGTTCTTTAACACTACCTCTCCACTTTAACTCTTCTCTTCTAGTTCTCTTCAGTTCATCTCAGCAGCCTACTGAGGAGACAGGGAGATAACCCCTGAACATCAGCGTCATTCCCTGATGCTTCTCAGATTCAATTATTTTGTTAAGATGCTGACTTTCCTGTATTTGTCATCTCCCCAGGCTTTCCAATGAAGGTACTTTCAAGAAATATATCTTTACATTTCAACTTTTATACAGATCAGCAATGTAAGTGAACACATCCAATCAGCCAGCCAAACAGAGAGAAAAATAAACAAGATTGTTCTTTCTTAGACTTCAGCTCCAAGGGATTTAAGTTCCCCTCTCTTAAATTGCTACTTAGTCTACGAAATATGTGCTTGGGATGCCTCTTATGCTATCTTTCGGCTTTCCCAGTAATAAGCATGTCCTTGAAGGTAAAAACTGTCTTAAGCCCTTCTGTCCCCAGAGTTCCGGCGTGTGCTCAGTAGATGCCTTATGCGTCACGGTGTGGGACCATTCTCATCTGTTCTCTGGTTAGAGGACAGGATCCAGAATGGTCTACAGATTGGTCTACTCCAAAAGTTTCAGACTGTTTTTTAAATTTACCTTGTAACCTACTGCAAAGGTGTGGGGATACGCTAGGCAAAACTCTTATGTAATGCTAATCAGTTCAGTAGCAGCTGCCTAAAGTGCTAAGTCAAGAAAGATAATGCATCCACATCTGGACTCTAGGGGGGCTGTGCTCTGATAGATTAGTGATGTCTGCCACATGCATAGGCGAGGAGCACAGTGGTCGGCATGCTCAGTATTTGCCATCCCAGCTCCAACCCCTTAGCCAAAATCTGAATTTCTTTAAGTTCAAAAACTTCTTACTGCGTAAGTTCCTTTCCCTAACTGAGGCATTAGGCCAGGGACAAAAGATGATTCAAAGTCTTCCAAATATATATTTCATGCGTAATCCTTTTACATAAAAGTTTGGTGAAGAATAGTTTTCCTGGCCAATCAGGCTAAAGGTCACTATCACGAACCCAGTGTTCCCTCCTCTTTCCACCGGATCACCATAAGAATCCTTTCTTGAGAACATTCAGAAGGAACTTTGAAAGTGCGGGTGGCTTTTTCACAAAAGCATAAGCATCAAAGCTCTTCTCTCCAGAAGCAACCCTAGCCAGGATCACTTGAGGATTCCACCAACTGCAGCTACTCTCTTCCAATCTAATAGATGCTGAGTTCCCTTTTCTCCTTCTGTGCTCTCCCATACATCTGTACATCAAGCACAACCCCACAATCAGGGGTGACAACATTCAGATTTCGTTTCAGACTTTCTCTCTGAAACCATTTAATAAAACGTTGCACAGCAGGGCATGGTGGCTCATGCCTGTAATCCCAACACTTTAGGAGGCTGAGGCAGGCAGATCACTTGAGGTAAGGAGTTTCAGACCAGCTTGGTCAACATGGCAACACCCTGTTTCTACTAAAAATAAAAAAATGAGCCAGGTGTGGTAGCAGGCACCTGTAATCCCAGCTACTTGGGAGGCTGAGGGAGCAGAATCACTTGGACCAAGGAGGTGGAGGCTGCAGTAAGCCAAGATCGTGCCACCCTGCACTCCAGCCTGGGCGACAGAGCAAGACTTTGTCTCAAAAAATATAATAAAAAATAAATAAAAATAAAAAATAAAAAAAGGAAGAAGAAAAAGAAAAAGAAAATCTTGCACAAAGTCATTTCACGATGGCAAAAATACAAATTCAACATCTCTCCAGGATAACGAAAGAAGTGTCCTTGGGGGTTCAGCAAACTCAAAATAACAAATCAAGCTCATTCTTCTTTTCATTTGTTTCCAGTCTTCTCAGCCAGAAAAATCCTTGACTTTTTTCCAACGTAAAATATCAAAGAAGTCCATTTCATAATTCTTCTCTAAAGACATATATTACAAAGTGAAGTATATTATTAAGTGCTGACAGCCTCCACTTCTAGCTTTATAATCACATTTATTGTATTTCCAAGGCAATCTTCCTCATCAATTTCCATTTCTCTAATCAAATACATTGTTTAAAAAGGCAATTTTACTTAATACTTGCTGTCCTCTCTGCATTACAGTAATGTACATCCTTGCTCTCTTTCAACCCCAACTCTTCTAGAGCATTTACGCCATTTATAAAGTGTGACAGTCTCTCCTCCTCTGTTCTCTGAATGATAACCACTTAGACCAGGGTCACTTAAAAGTTCCTTTAAAAAAGTTCAATGATTATAATAGAATAAAAGCCTTTCTGAGACAAAAATATGCTAGAATAAAAAACTGAGTAAAAATAGGTTGCTTAAGATTTGAAGCAATATTTTCTATAATGAAATACTTATCTGCCTCTAAAACTTAACTCAGAATCTTCGAAAAGCTTCTCGAACCTCAAATATTGAAATCACTTAAATAAAGTATCCCAGGGAAGGAAAAAGACACAGTGATCACAGATGGGCATTACAGGGCGTAAGAAGCAATAGACAGGACATGATGGTTCTGGAACAGTAGCCCAGCTGGGCTGGAGTCCAGAAGATCTGAGGGTTCTGAGCTGGTTTTTACATGTTAAATCCATCCCCGTAGAGCCTCTTCTTCCATGACTACTGACTTTGGGAGCCCTGCATCCAGAGGTGTAAAATGCAACCAAATGGAAGTCAGAAGAGCAAAAGAAGCTCACCTTAGATTGAGGCAAGGAATGAAATTTTATTGCAGCTTTATGCATCATCTGAGCTTCAAACAAATGGTACTTTTGCAAAAGAAGAAAAAAAGTAAAGTTATATAGTGCTGCAATGTTTAAGGGCAAGAGCAGTAAGATAATATCATCAGGTACATTCTGGCCAAGTGTGCCCTATTTAGTATGGAATATTAAATTGAATAAAGAATGAAAAAGTTAAAAAATAGAAACCATGTCAAAAAGGGATTGTTTTTCAACTAAAAGACATCCAGCCTATCCTTTTTTTTTAATTGGTTCCTACCTACCATAGGCTACCATTCCATGAGGTACAGACAAAGTAAGACTGAACTAATAAAGGGGCTCTGCAAACACATTGTGAAAACTACTGACCTAGAGTTTCAAACTTTCTTTCTAGAAAACCAAGTTTAAAATTATATAGCTTTACTAATCAGAAAAGAGTAAGTATGCCATATCTCATACTATTAACCCCTTTATTTTTGCCACAGAGTTTCACCTGTCTTTCAGGAAAAAACAAAACAAAACAAAAAAGCTACACATTTTTATTTAGCTATTATTAAGAAACTTAGGCACATGGGCAGAACAGGTCTCACAGGTAACCAGTTGTGTTTCCTAATAGGCTGAATACATATCATTGCCATGAATACATCTTTTATCGTAAAATGACAATGAGCATCATAAGTAAATAGTTCTGTTGTTGTCACTGTTTTGTTTAACAAAAATAGGGCCTTAAAATAAGATATTTTAAGTGGAATTCAGTGGAATTCTTGAACAGTAAGTAGCCTGTTGATGGTGGACCTAGTTTAAAGCACCACACAACAATGTGTGTTTACATCACCCCTTTATTTCATAGTTAGAAATAATACAGTTCCACAGGGTAAATTGTCAATAAATAATGGTGTTTAATCATTAAACGTAAAAATCCCACTCTTTGGCATCTGACAGGATTCTATTTCTTGTCAAACTAATGACTGTATAGATATAGCTAATCTTAGTGATCATTCGTCAATACAATATGTTACAAAGGTGCAATTTACCTTAAAATATACAACAGCTAAACATTTCCAGCCCAACGAGAAATCTGATCAACTCAGTAAGATATGAGCCAACTTCCCCAAGGCTCTTTCACATAGTTTGCCTTAATGAAAGTGTAATAAACGTTGATTAAGAGTTCCTAGGGCTTTCTAATACTTACTTTGCTCTAAATAGAGTTTGCCATTCATTCTGGCTAAAGAAAAATCACAATTGCACCAGGAATGACCCACTCATTAATTAAAAGGTGTTCTTATTTTATAAGCAAGATTGCTAACACCTAAGAAACTCACAGACCCCAAAATAAAAAGTAAGCAGTTCTATGCTGCCAGAAATCCCAATTCAGTAATAAATTGCACCTTTAAGAGTCAAAAATGGGGGAAAAAAGAAATAGAACGTTTACAAAAGGTAAGTTACATACATTTTTTTTTTTTCAAAATATATTCAAGAATAGTTGAGCTGTATTTGTTACTAAAGCCAGGGCATTATTTCTTTAGCAACAAATTAAACCAGTGCAATTGACATAAATTGTTAAGTAATCCAGGATTAACCCATTAAAACTGTAGAAGCACGTTAGGCTCCTACGCTAATCCTAGAAACTGGAATTTCAGTGAGTGCTTGTGTTGCACAGAACTAAAACTGGAATGACCTGATGCCATGCTGAATGGTATCACTTCATACTTAGTTTAATCATTCGATAGTACAAATCATGAGTTCCTCTATTAAAAGTTTTATTCACTTACAGAAAATTCAGATGCAAACAGTATTATGCCTATAACCCACAATTAAAAGAATCCTTTCCAATTTAAAGTTCCAGGTGAATTTTAAGTTAGAAAATAAGCACTAAGGAGAGTTTTTTCAACTTATGAAAACATCACATTGGAAACTTTCTGGAAAAGCTTCCCCCGCCCACCCATTGTAAAATAAATACTTTGTATCCCAAATTTAATTTTATTAAGACACACTTTAATAACGCTATAAAGAAATATTTTACAGCCATAGAGATCAATAACTTTCCATGCGGAAATAAAAAATTCATTGCTCAATAATATTATTGAGGCAAGTGAAGAAAGATTACTCTGTTGTCAATCTGAAATGTTAATTTTTTCAGTGCAAAACCAGTTATAAAATATTTAAACTCAATATTTAAAAATAAAAAGTGGTCCAATTCAGCAATGTTCAAGTTCTAAATTTCATAAAACAAATAATTACATACATTTTATAGTAAAATACAGAGATTCAAGAAGTACTTGAGTACTTAAGATATAAATTTCTAATGAATCATATCAAGTCAGCAACAATCAAGCAGATAACATTCCCAATTTGAGGGTCAGAATCATAAAGATGAAATTACTGTACCAAAGCCTTTTTTTCCTAGCTAAAAAGCTATACAAACTAACAGTCAACTTTCTGTTTTCTTTGCAGTTGCGTGCTCTAGAATGATATCCCCCCCAAGTACCTGTGATTTCATTCCTGTATTCAAATTTGATCCAGACAATTTTTATGTTCCAGGAACACTTAGCTGATATAACCATCTATAGTGTGAAGAGTCATGTACAGAGTACAGCAGTGGGTTTTTTCCAGCCAAGCGTAGGCTGACCTAAACTGGTTTAAGCTCTCTGCAAGTCATTCATGTATTATTCCTAGCAAACACACGGTCCCCTCGGAGGGTTAGGTGTTGAAGCTGGTACTGTAGCACTTCCGTGTCAGCTGGCTCCTTGATCATTTTATCTAGATTGAGGTAGTCCAGAGATTTGGAGTGAGCCCTCTTACCTTTAAGAAGACAAAGAGGCAGAGGCCCATGGAGGGCCTTATAAGGTTCATAAGGTAAAGATTTAGTGCACTTGTCTCCTGAGCTGGGCATCCGCCTTCGCCTCCTGCCATTGACAGCTGGAATCTCGTATGGCTGGTAGTACCTACTTCTGGTTTTATACAAACGAGAGGAACGGGCAAGTCCTGCATCTAGCTGTTTGGAGCGTAAGGATGGCATGGCTTCTGCCTTGCTCTCTTCACCTCCTGTGCACTTCTGAGCTAACTTCAGGAGTTCCTCACCAGTCGTGAAGCCAACCAAATAGTTAGAGTCCATGTGTAGGATCTGGTAGCCTGACACGGTCCTCCGCATCGGGGAGCAGGGTGTGCTGGAGCACCGGGGCTTCTCTGCCTCTGCCTTTCCTGGGGAGTTGGCCTCGGCCCCAGGGAAGGGCAGGGTGGTCAGAGTACTTCTAGACTCTCCATTAATATCGACTTCCATTTTAAGCACCAGTCTGCACAATCCTAAAAGTAAACAGACTTAGATTAGAAGAATATAATGCACAGAGACTCGGGCCAGGCCAGGTCCTTTTAGAATGCTCAGGGAGCATGAAGTAAACTTGCCTGAAAGACAGTCAATGTACCACTGACATGTATCTATGTCTACTAAACGTTTCAGAGTGGGCATGAAATGACAACTACCTCTCTGCTTTTAAGAACTGAAAGGCAAGTTAAAGTCTGATGTACTATGAAAAAGTTCAGAAGGAGAAGCAAACAGAAAACAACAACAATAATACTTCTCTAAATGCAGCACTCCATTCAATCACATAAAGTTTATTCCTTAATGCACTATCAAGTGAGTCAAATACAGATCTCAGCATTAAGAAACGAAAGCAATCATACATAGTTTCATAAGAACACATAAAATATTTCTGGCTTGAAAGTTAAATTTTTCCATTATTTAATTTAAAGTGTTTAGCTCTTGACATCTGCAATTCTTTTCAATTTGTCTTTAAGGAACATATAATAAAGCTGATTGAGCTGACGAATTTCTGCAAGGAATCCAATTTAGACTTAAAACAACTATTCATAGAGTATGAGGAGTCTTAGGGGAAGGTTCCCCCAAATCTTGTAAATGTTCTTCCTTCCATATCCCCAGTGACTTAAAGAATATCATTTTATAGTTTAAAAGTTAATGCTAAATCCAATATATCACATAATTTTTAATACTAAAAATGCATAAAACAACAGATGTCATTTTAATTTGACTATTTAATCAAAAAATATACCACAGGCTTGACATTCTGTTTTGCAATACCCAAGACGCTGTACTTTTCAATAGTTTCATAAATGGCAGAATAATTCACAATGAATATTAATATTATTCCTTAAGATTATTACAATACATAGTTTAGAAAGCTCCATTGACAAAAAATAGCACAAATGGTGGCTAGGTTCCTAGAAAGCTACAGATAGATCAAATTTGGGAAACTAAAATACTAAGGGAAATAGTGACCGTTTCATTTCTGAGAAAGTATTTGTACTTGCTTTTTAATTGGAAGTAGATAACATGATTTTCAGTATCTCAGATTGCTAATAAAAATGACATCAACTGATTTTAAGACAAAAAATTTACTTAAAAATTTATTAAATAACTCTTATGAATCTTTTTACTAGACAGCCACTTCCTATTGAAGTATTTCTTAAAGTTTGGGTAATCATTTAAAACCTAAGCAATTAGAAAGCTTTGTTTTAAAAAGAAACAAAAAACAGCACTTTATTCCTCCACATGCATGTTCTAATTTCCTTCATTAGAAGATTGTGAAGTTACCAGATACCACCCTGTGCTCCCTATGATCCCCACTGAAAACAAACATTTATTACAGTATTTGAGATAAAGCAATGCCAAAGGATCTATATGGTATTACTCACTATTTATTCTCAATCGTAGACTATTTCCCGTGTTTATTTCACCAAAATACTCTAGTCCCTGAACCCTTTTAGATTTAATCAGTTTTATTATATTTTAATGTAAAAATAAACTATATTATAGTGTATTTATATTATTTATATAAAATAAATTATATTTGAGGAAATTTATTTCTCCATTGATAGGACTGGAATATCAGGTGACTACCAGCTACTCTGATATGCACATAAGACTTCTCAGCTAATAAACTTTAGAGAGCCATACGAAGCCTCAACAAATTTTTATGCTAAACAAACAAATATTAACTTGGAGCCAAATGACAAATTTATCCTTCCTTTCTCACTAATTTTGTAACCCAGAAAGAATATAAGAGGACATAGCCAAGGCCTCCAACCTACGTAACCTGACTGGCAGCTGTTTCTCTGATACTTCATCCTGAAAAGGAGAGGAGGGTCAGTGAAGCAAAAAAATAACCAGGGCCATGGAGAATAGGGCACACACACACACACATACACACACACACACACACACAGACTGGGCACCACACCCAAGGAGAGTCACCAAGGCAGTGACACTCAAGCTGTCCGTCTGCTCTGAGACTCTGGTCTAGGTCTCTTTCAAATCTGGCACTCCGTGACAACTTATGGAGTTCCACCAGGCAGCTTACTGCATTCTCATTTGGTATATTATAAATGTCTTTATATCTATGACTTCAGACCCCACACATTCCAAATTGGGTAAACATTCATGCAGAAGCGAGGCTAAAATTCATCTTTTTTGTCTACGAGGGAAAAAAGTTTGCTAAGCAAGTTAATAGCGCATAAAGTTGCAGTAAAGAGGAGTGGACACAGGTTTCTGAGGGCAACACAATCATCAAAGGTTTGTCGCCATACTAAGCCAATCCTGCTGCATCAAGGTAAACTGTCAGAAATCCTGAGAATCCTTGGGGGTTGAAGATAAAGCCTAGAAGGACACAACGGTTTAGAGAAATAGGCAGAAATAACATATTAGCTAGAAAATACTTGGAAGTACCTGGAAAATTAGAAATGTGAAGACATGTGTAAAGGTCAAAATCTGATTTGATATGAAATAGACACTACTGTTAGATGAGTAACTCATCAGTTAAGTTTCCAACAGCCAAATACACCATAAAAAAATGGCTTGAGAAGAGAACTATCCAAATAGGATCTACACACATCAACCTGGTAGACAATGATTTAACCTAGGTTGTTAAGTAGAAGATACAGATGTGGTTTAAGAGCTCTGGAAATTTCAACCAGGCAGTCTGGCATATGAAATCTACCACATTTTACTGAGGTAGACAAAACATTCACTATGGAAAACACATTCTAACCAGAAAGTTGAAGGAGTAAGCATTTCTAATATCCTCCAACATAAATACTCAACAAAGCAACTAAAGTCAACGCAAAACAGGTCAGTATTCCAGGGAAGATTCCTGCGGGAGAATCTCAAGGCGCCGGAACATGAAAAGGCTGACTTTAGATATAATTATATAGCTGCTATCTGCTGAACTTCTGATGAGCAATTCTCAGAGCTGGAAAACTGTTTGTACTTTTTGGCTATCAAACATCAGTATTTTTGCTCCAAACTACAAATAGTGTCTTCTCAAAACTAACAGTTCATTGGGTGGTTCATTGGTCTCCACAATATACTGCCATATGTACAAGAACAACTTCAGGTCTCGATATTCACGTAGGAACATGAACACTGGAAACAAGACCCTCACAAACGGCTTCTGTTTTTCTAAAGGATTCTTTTTACTTATATATTGCCCTTCTAAAAGCATCTACTACGCGGCACCAAGAAAGCTAGGTAGAGGCTGGGTTTCAGAAAAGCCAGCCCTCATTGTCAAATATTTCATTTGTAGTTGGGCTGAATGCTGAATAAGCAGCATACCTCCCATTCTTCCGTGTGACAGAAAACAAAACTTATGCTACCACATTCCTGAGAATTTCTTGACTAGATTTAAATACTGAAGCAAGATCCTGAGATCAGTTACAGAATCAACTTGCTCAGGTCATTTTTACAACGGGGGCAGAAGCACTTTAGACACTGTCCCATCTGCACAGGAAGAAGTCTAGGTACCTCCTAACTCCAGAATTCTGGGGGGAAACAAAAGACACTAAAGACAGATATACAGATATACAGATGTCCAACATTTTCCACAGCAAAATTTCTTATTGAAAGACATTCATCAGGAAACTCAGCTACGGTGACTATAACTGGAGGTGGCCTGTGTTTAGCAGCATATTCTTCAGGTTTTACCATGAAAAAAACTGCTTACAGGCTTGTGTTTTTTAATAAGCCTATTCATGACTCAGCATTTTGTTTCATATTGTCAAATAAACCTTGTATCCAAAAAGCTTGCTGCCAAGATAAACAATCACAAAGCACTCTCATAAATACTACTACAGGTACCACGCAACAGGTGCCACACTTCCCACTACATCAATAAGAATAGCCTGTGAGTCAAGAAATCAGGTCTAATGCCACCTGCTTCATTCCTGAGCACTAAAACCCAGAGATCAAAGATACCTTTCTTGCTTCCATTAATGCCTTTTATATATAGTTTAAAGCAAAAATAGACTGTAAGTAGAAAACAGAAAAAGTATTAATGTTGTAATTACAGAAGCAGCAAAATGTCTGTGCAGAGAAGAAGCTAAAACAGAAAATGAAACAAGAATAGAAAAGTCAACTTGTAATTGAACAATGCTTTTAAAATTGAGCTTCTTAAAAAGTACCAGGAACAATACAACTTTTCAAATGACACCTAAGGTCTTCAACATCAAATTCCCTCACAATCCAACCAGTAACAATGGTACCAATGTATTTATAAAACATGAAAGATTATAGATGCTTCTATATTGCTGAAATTTATGTGGATCCAACTAGATGACAAAGGTAACACTAATTCTTAAAAAATGTACACAGTACACATTTTTTAAAGCATTGGGTACAGAATGAAATTGTAAATTTCGGCTAAAACTAAAGCAAATAGGTCCAAATTACAACACATGTATAGGAGAACCTGGTGCACCAGGATAAGCACGTTCAAAAGCCTGTGACCCTTATAGAATCTGCATAGGTCTGAATACTCTCTGAGAGGCCAAATCTAAATTTGGGGCATAAATACCAATACTTTGAAAATATAACCTAAATGCCCTTGTCTCCTTAGACCAGCTTTGAAAACAGGTGATACGTCTGACAAATGCTATAGAAAGAATTCTTTTTGAGAAACACTGTATCCTAACACCTGTATTTCATCTAAGAAACTCAAAAAATTAATTGCTTCATTAGCTTTCCTATATATAGAGTTCATTTATATATCAGTAGCATGCCTGCTAAAAAAATTCCAACTCCTCGAACCTTTAGCTGAGATGTCAAAGGCATGAAATTCTCTTGTTAGACTCATTCCACCAAGTTTAATATTGCTCGTTTTTGCCATCTTCTCTTAAAACACCTTTATTTTTCTCTATTACAGATTGAATTAGTTTATCAAACATATTTTTTATGACAGGAGGGATGTGGTAAAGGTAGGGTACAATGTAATTCTCATGGAGAGAAAGAAAAGCAAAGGTTCCAAAAAGCTGAGAATGTGACTTAACACCAAGATACATCCAGATATTGCCCACAGTCAGCTCCTATGCTACTGGGTGTCTGAGTCAGTGACACACTCCAAGAAACAAAAATTATTTCACTAGGCTCAAAGCCTAGGGCACCATCCTAGTTGCTAATTTCTTTAACCATACAGAGATATCTCAAAGAAGTCTTAGAGTCAACAAACATTTTTTATAACCACCTTTCCCTTCCAGATACTTTCTACCTTTTTCTTACCCCACTAACCTGCTCAAAGGATTGTTTTCTCTTGTTATTGTTTTTGAAATCAGTAAAAGCAATACATGCAAACTGAAAGCTATCCAGTCCAAATAATTCATAATGATGTACTATAAATGGCAAAATCATTCTTCATCCCCTACCAATGCCGGACATATCTTGAGGAAATCTCTATTAATATTTTGGTATATCCTTCCTTTTCCTGAGTATTTACGAATGTGAGAGTGAGTAATTACTTCCTTCTACAATGAAAACATGCAAGAGTACACACAGACACACATGAATATTTCTGCAGAAAATTCCAGAAGTAAAAATGCTGAGTCAAAGAACATGTACTTTGTAGGTTTTTATAGTAATTACCACAAAACTTTATTAATAATGCTTCTGGTTTTTATATGGATAATGTATTACTTTATATAACTAAAAATTAATGTAAACACTTTTAAAGAGTGTAATCTATACACTCATCAGAAGAGTGCCTGTTTCTCCTCTTATTGCTTAGAAATAGGAATTATCAAAAGAAGAAAGGAAGATGATGTGCTTCCTTTTGTTTGATGTGTTTGATTTTTTCAAAAAGAAAAAGATAAATGAAAGGGACATGACCACCATTCTTTGACCTCAAATCTCCTGATATTATTCTCACTTAAAAAACACTTAGACACTCTTTAAAGAAATTTACAAACTAAATGCAAATTTTCCTTCAAAAAAGGAAGATAACATTTCATTTATATATATTAGAAAAATACATACAGTGTACATTTCAAAAGCATTAGATACAGCATTCAATACCCCAATACCAGTATTCTGGCTGAGACTAAAGCAAACAGGTCCAAACCATAACATACGTGAGTGGAACCCCGTGCACCAGGAAGAACAGTCAAGAGAGTAGACCTGTATGAAATCTGCACAGCTTTGAACACTCTTCAAGAGGCCAAGCTTCCTATCTATTTGGCACAAAGAGCAACATTTTGAAAATATGATCTAGATGCCTTAGCTCCTTAGACCAGCTCTGAAAATAGCTAATAAGTCTCAAAACTGCTATACAAAGAATTCTTTTTGAAATTGCATTCTGAGAATTGTTTAAAATAAGATTATAAAAAAAATTCACTCCCAGTTATCAAAACACTGCTCCATATGCTTTCACTGTTTTTTTTAGCAACATACAGCAATACCATATAAGAGAAAACAGATATCAACATAACCATTTTAAATATACAGAATAAAAATGTCATCATGTTAAGAAAATCCTTTTCAAGAGGTACTTGAATCAAACCATTCGAATAGAGCCATTTTGGGGGAAATAGGGTCTCCTAAGCAGGGCTAATACCAGTCCAGTGATATCTATGATATCTACAGTCACCTATTCTTGTGTTTGTTGTTTGTCTGTTTGTTTAGACACAGCGTCTTGCTCTGTCACCCATGCTGGAGTGCAGTAGCACAATGATAGTTCACTGCAGCCTCAAACTCCTGGGCTCAAGCGATCCTCCCACCTCAGCCTCCCAAGTAGCTGGGACATAGGTGTGCATCACCACATCTGGTTAATTCTTTCTTTTATGCTTTTAGAGATGAGGTCTCACAATGTTACCCAGGCTGGTCTCAAGCAATCCTCCCTCCTTAGCATCCCAAGTAGCTAGAATTACAGGTGCGAGCCACCGCCCCTGGCTAGAGTGATACAGTTTTAATGCCAGAATCATCTTGGACATAACCTACCTGGAACCTCTACCTCCAAATATAGAGAAGACACTGAAATCATGAAGACAGGGTCCTGCCCAGAGCTATACAGGTAGTTAATGCCCATAATTACAACTCAGGCTCCCTGGCTCCAAGTCCATGCTGTGCTTCTAGCATGTGGTTCCCAAACTTGTCTACACACCAGAATCAGGCAAGGAGCTTCAAAAACTGCTGATGTCTGTGTTCCACCCCAGATTTGTGATTTAACTGATCTGGGCTGTAGCCTGGGTTCTGCAATTTGTAAAAGATTCCCAGGTGATTCTAATATGCATCTAGGTTTGGGAACTTGTCAGATAGAACTTATCAGATAGAAGAGTTTCACTCTTGTAAGTCCCTGCTTTGTTTTTAATCAGTAATTACTGTATAGTCATGTTGGTGAACATAATTTTTGGCTGCTTATAATTGCTAACAACCTACCCCTAGGTCTTCTAATTTACTGTTCCTAATCCACTGTGGGCTGGAAATATCTGTTAACCAAACGTGTTAAAACTGCATATAAGATAAAAATAAATCTGTGCTGAATGAGAATCGGGCTCCTTCATCTGCATACACTTTGGCGTACTTATTTTAGCTACTTAGAAGCCTTTGTCAGGTGCAGCTACTTCAGAGAACAGTTTAGCATTTACTTATAAAGTTGAATAAATTCTCATTAAACAACCCAGCCACCATACTCATAGATATCTAACCCAAGAAAAATGAAAATACATGTCCATACAAACACCTGAATGTGAATATTTATGACAGCTTCATTCACAAACACCGAAACTAGAAAAAAATACAAATATCTATCAACAGGGAAAGAGATGAACAAACTGCAGTCCATCCCTACAATGGATACCACTCAGCAATGAAGTGGAACAATCTGGGAAAATACCAAGTGAAAGCAGCAGATACTACACCTATATACTACATGTTTCCACTTACGTGGCATTCTGGAAAAGGCAAAACTATTGGCTAGAATCAATCATTAATTGCCAAGGGCTAGGGTGGGGAGAAGGGATAACTACAAAGGGGAGAAAGGGAATTTTGGCAGGTGATGAAAATAATCTATTGGTTGACTATAGTGGTCATTACATAACTGGATACATTTGTCAAAATGCATCAAACTGTACACTTTAAAAGGATGGATTGTACTAAGTAATAATTCAATAAACCTGACATTAAAAAATAAATGAACTCTGTCACATATTTCCAAGTTTCAGATGGTCCTCCAAATATTAAATTTTTTTGTACCATATAATTTCGGAATCAAAAGGAATCTTAATAGTTGTCCACTGTATGTTTGAACACCTGCAGTGACAGGTAACTCACTACCTCCCAAGATGATTCATTTCACCTTGTACAGCTCTGCTAGAATGTCGATTTATTTACACATATATCTGTATGTACATGCATATATACGGTCAACCCTCTGTCTCCACAGGTTCTGCATCCATGGATTCAACCAACCACAGAGAGAAAATAATTGTAAAAGCAAAAAATTACATCTACACTGAATACGTACAGAATTTTTTCTTGTCATTATTCCCTAAACAATTTAGTGCAGCTACTATTTATGTAACATTTACATTGTAATAGGTATAATAAGTAATCTCTAGATTAAAGTATACAAGAGGATGTGCATAGGTTATAGGCAAATACTATGCCATTTTTGTATCAGGGACTTACATATCATCAGATTTTGGTATCTGGGGGAAGTCCTGGAACCAATCTCCCATGAATGCCAAGGAACAACTGTACAAATATAGGTATAAACAGAGATAGGTGGATAGACATAGATACACACACATATATTGCTGTAGCTTCTACGCACTTGCTCTAGTTTTGTGATTTATTTCTATTAGCTGAGTCAGTGACCAGGCCACATTATTTTTTATTCAATATCATCTCAAAGTACTTTGTACTATGTTTTTCAAACTTCTTACACTTTTCCTCAAAACTGAAAATTTTAGTAATGTTTCCATTTTTCCAATGTTCTAAAATGCATTTTCATAAAAGTAATAGGTTTTATCTACTTAATGAGGTTAAAGTATTTGTTTTTCCCTACCATTCCTTGGAATCATTCTGCTGCTGACTAGAAATTTAGAAATCGCTTATTATGAAACTCTGCCTTTTCCAAGGATTATGACCCTCTCTACATAATTCAAAGCAAGGATGTACAAAGATAACGGCCAAGTAGAATGACACACCAAAGCACGGAGTCACCCTAATACAGTCTTGAGAATGCTAAAGAGCTACCATAGATCATTAGGAATTTCTTTTTTCCCTTCAAAGACTTCGAGCCACATGGACAACTATGTCAGCAAAGACACACAGATGACACACTGAAAAAAGACAACTAAAGGAAGAAAACAGCATTGCATATTTTTAACAGTTTAAATCCAGGGTGTGATAAAAAGAATGTCACATTTTCACTGAACTGCTATATGACTAAGTGAAAATAATGCTCCTTTCAGACACCTGTTAGCTCATTCTTTACGTATGATAATATACAACCAGAATTTTTTGCCAATTATTTCAGCAATGTTTGGAGATTAATGTTTTTACTAAAATTTGCCCCAAATTGGAGCAACTATCTCTTACTACACTTTGAAATATTATTTCATAAGGTCTTTATATTAAAGAAATTTAAAAGAAGGAAAACTTAGTCAAACATTTCAAATAAAATATTTGCATATTGCAACAATAATTTCATTTCTCACCATTAAAAATGTGTAATTAGAGTATACATATTTGCAATAATACACCGACATTACACATTCACTTGATTGACATTTCACACTCACTTGTTTATGTAGTCTTTAAAAACCACATTATGGTATTGTGTTCATACAACTGTTAACAAACAGAAAAAGCAAAATATAACTTACCAGACTAAATCCCAGAAGATGTCACTGTACAATTTCCAATGAGTCCCAAGGAAACACAGACATAATAATTTTTCTGTTCTACTCCAGGTACTAAACATGAAATACAAAAATAAACCTTTAATTTAACAAGTAACACAACTTGTAACATGATATCAATTCTAACTGCAAAAGAGAATGAAACTAGCAGGAGGTAGTAACATCAAGTATAGGCTATATAGGATCCAATAATTAATTAATTCAATTAATGTTGAGTTTGTTCACCTAAATGCATCCTCAAACATTTTATCGTGTATTTCTCTGTGCTCTGTTGCTTAAATTCTGCCTAGAGACTAGGAGTAGCTAACTGGGCTAAATAAAGAGACAAGAAAAATTAAGGTAGTAAGTATTAGTTTCACCATCCTAGTCCTATTCATGTGTTCAACCGATTCACAGTACTCTGTGCAAAAAAAATAATGCTCAGGCTAGGATCAAAAGTACAGGCCATAGTTCCTAACTCTGGCTTTGCTAAGAACTCTGCCTCTTGACCCTGCATAAATATCAATCTCTAAAATGAAGACCATAATAACCCCCCCCCAATACAGTTGTTTGATGGATCAAATGAAATGAGGTAGGTGAATGCTTTACATGCTGCAAAGCTCTTTACAATGTGTGATGCTATTGTTATGCAATTAATTTTTGGTATCGACTCATTTTAGCCATAAAGCAGCAACAATGTAAATCTTTCATAAGACTGACGTGAGGCAAATGATTAGAAGTCTCTTGGATAACACAACAAAAAAAGACAAGTGTCTGAAAAAGCACTTTTTTATAGTTACCACCTTACTTAAGGTTTCTAGCATCTCCTCTGTGCCTTCCCTCTCTTACCTGGGAAGTTAATGTGTAAGATAATCTATCTCTATCTCCTACCTCCCTAGTTAATAGGGTTAATTTGCTGAGACGAGGAATACCCTCCAAAGTCCTTTTCCACCTGTAAAAGTTTCTTTGGTTGTTGGTTTTCGGTTGTGTTCAACAACAGAAGCAGTTGGAGGGGTGTCAAATGAGGCTAGTAGATTCATTTTACCTATGCAGGTGCACAGAGCCCGAGAAGTGGCAACATTTACAATACCTTATCAAACGAAAGACCAATTGCAAGAAAAAAGGCAAGGAGTTTGTAACTTTATTACTTTCCTTACCAGTACAGGAGAGTTTCATCCAAAGGAAATAGATAATTACTAAATTTAATATGTGCTTCTTTAGCTTGAGAAAATGGAAGGAGCTAATGCACCAAGAACTGTCATTCCAAGAAACTAGCATGTTTATCAGCCTTTGTAGCTTCTTCAGATGTAGATAACAGAAACACTCCCTTTCATGTCTTTTGCCACCAACTATTCTTAAATCGGGTAACCAAAAAATCTTAAAAATTAAGCCTTGATTCTACCCCACCAATGAAGCCTCTGGTTTTAACACACAGTAAATTGTAAAAAAATTGTTATCTATAGACAAAATATTTAATGTAATTATCCCAAAGAATTTCCCCAATACTAATAACATTTATCTTCATTTCTTATTTAATGGACTTTTAATGGGAAAGAGGAATTTTAAAAACTAACATTTCTTTAGCATCTTCCATATGTCAAAAGCTATATACAATTTATATCATTTAATCTTAACTACTCCATGAAGAAAATATTATTATTCCATTTTTAAAGTAGTGTTTAGTAGTATCCTTATTTTAAAGTACTCTTTCAGGTGATACTACATGAGAGTCAGAGCAGGAATTGGAACCCCAATTGGCCTCTGTTCAATGTTAAGACCATAAGCATAGCCTTTTACATAATAATCATGATCCTGCAAAATGTACATCAATTAATTTCTATATATGAAATTCTATTTTAAGTGTATGGGGAGGCACTTTATCTAAAAGCTTTATTGCCTCATTTGTGAAATGGCTGGGGGAACTACTTAGCTGAAAGGTTACTTCCAACTTGAAAAATATTAGGATTTGGTGGCACATCGTGGAGAGTCTCATACAAAAGTCTTCTGAATCATGGACTCTTTCTCCTATGAGCTTATATTTTCTAAAATCATAAATTATAAGACAGAAAAAACGTATCAACCAATACCATCTGGTTATAAGGTTGGATATCAAATACAGTTACATATTTCTGCTTTATTTCTCAAGACTACATCTATCACAAAGTGGGATAGATTTCATTTATACTTTTAGAAATGTCAACTGAAAAACAAGCAGGAGGAACATTAGAAAGATCTGAATGTCTTAATCCTAAAGAATAGTTTTGATAGTCTTAAATATTATTCAAACTTTCATATAATTTGCCTTGTGTATTTGGTGACATATTCTTCTTTTCAAGCTTGTAAATGTATTAGAAAAATATTTAAACTTTCAAAGAGTTTTTCAACACCAAAAGAAAGAAATCAACTAAAACTTTAGTCTGGATTTGAAAGTAGAGGAGCCTTAAAGATATTATCCAACTCTTGCACTGGAGCTGATGTGTAAATCTAGGAAATGGTCGGTAATTTCATAGTAAACAAAAAGTAGTAACTGATTATTCCTATTATGCCAGTGCCAAGCCAAAAATAGAATATAAACACAATGTCCAAGGAAACAACACAAGCAAAACCAAAGTGCAGAAGCTCCACTACATTCTCACTTTTTCTAATTTTGACTCTGCTTACTGCTTTGTAGGAGGAGGAGGAAGAGGAGAAGGAAGAGGAAGAGGAGGAGGAAGAGGAGGAGGAGGAGGAGAAGAGGGAAAAACAAACAAAAAGAACAAGACCAGAAATTAACTAGTATAAAAATATACCTTTTCTTTAAGACACAACCCATAATCTACTACAAAATTACAGTAAGGGTTCTATCCCCATCTCCCACTTAAAACAATTAAAAGATTGTAATATAAAAATCCCCAAAACATGTACCTTCCAAATAACACACATTTTTAGAATACCTTAAAAATCTCTAATTCTCTACTGCTTGCAATTGATTCTGGCCAATGTTCTGAACACTGAAGGTTTGGAAAGATATCAACAAATTTCCTCTCAAAAACAGTCAGCAAGAGGAAAAGGAATCCATGTGAAATTCTTAGAAGACAGACTAAATGCTGCATAAAAACAAAGACTGAAGTAAATAGAGCAAAGGCTACAGGATATAATAAATGTTTCCAGTTATAAGAAGCTGAAACAGAATGCAGTGGGACATTATCCCATAAGCAATAAAAATAGGAAAAACTAAGCATTGGCCAAGAGCTGCCCACAGACTTCTGGATAAGAAAGTCATGGGTGACTAAGCAAAAGACACCCAACATTTGACTGCAAGTGGAGCTTCTACAAATAGAAAAGTTTGCAAACGTTAAATAGCAAATGTATCGAATTTCTCAGGTGATAGTTATTACCACAGGTAAATAAGAATGCCTTTCAAAAGTAGAGTGACTATGTATCTCAATTCATAGTCAATACCCTGGTATAATTATTTAAAGCAACCCCCTTTAACTCTCAAAATTGTCTCAGTTTGGCTGTTTTGTTATCCTACTCAAAAGTAACATATACCAATGGAAAGGCAATGACTTTTAAAAAGAGAAACACCCTTCTGCTTGAACAGTGAATTCCCATACAGATCGGAGTTCTTCTTTGGGTGTACCCACTTAGGTATTCACTTATGCAGTCATTCAACAATGTTTCTTGAGTCGTCTTATATATCCTCACACTGCACAGGCACTAGTGTACATATAAAGAGAGAGCCTGAGACTGGGCCAGAGGGGAGGACAGACATGGAAATAAATCCATCTAATAACAGTAAACCTGAATGGCACTAGGAACCCAGAAAAGGGATACAAATATACAAAGCTCCATTTGGAAATGTTTAGGTCCACACAAAATCCATACACACACAAAAAAGTCGTAAATCCCAAGCTTCAGCACAGATCACTAACAAAACAGCAATAAGAAAAAATGTAATAATATTGGTCACAAATCATAAGATTATAAATATGAGGACCAGCACATGGCCCTTTCAATATTGGTAAATAAATCTCATTCATCATTAAAGTTTATATTATGAAAAGACAAATTTTAGGCAAAGAAATTGGTACAGTAGAAGTTGTGAGTTCTAATTTTAGCTACCAAAACATTTATTTTCATTTTTTTCATAGCCCTAACCTGAAGCCCATCAAAACATTTAGAAAGAAAGAAAGAAAGAAAGGAAGGAAGGAAGGAAGGAAGGAAGGAAGGAAGGAAGGAAGGAAGGAAGGAAGGAAGGAAGGAAGGAAGGAAGGAAGGAAAAAGAAAAGAAAAGAAAAGAAAAGAAAAGAAAAGAAAATAAAAGAAAAGAAAAGAAAAGAAAAGAAGCCAGACTACCTGTCTCTTTCTATTTACAGACTGGCTATTTAAGAAGAGACCAATAATTGGAAAAAAATAGCAATTTTTAAAAATTCCTTTCAAAATAGTAAAAATATTTTGTGACCACTAGTCTCAAAGACCACTAAAAACAAATAAAAGATGAAACAAAACATCTCTGGAGGAATACTAACTGAACACTAAGCAGAAATAAAATGGCTTAACTGTCAAAGTACAACACAACAATGAAAACAAAATGTTTAGCTGTACCTAGATGCTCATCTTAGAGGTTTCTTTCAAATACTCTTACTTTACCATTTGCAACTTGCAAAATCTAAGTCATCAATACTTTTTAAGAAGAGTTAACTAGGGTGTGACTTTTCTGAAACCATCCTTGACCTTACAAACAAACCAATAACCTTGCCAACTTCGTAAAATAACTCATAATTCGTTCAGTAAGACAAAAACGTGTTTCTCTTTCTAGTATCAGTTCTTTTAATAGCAATCCACCCCCTTAAAGTGTAGCACTCATTATCTTTCCATTTCTGCTAGTAAAAATTAAACCTAGGTTACTAATATCACGTGGTGTCATCCTTCTACTTTTAGAAAAATATTCAGTTTCACTGCAAATATGACCGACAGTAAGTGGAACTAAAGGTCAACATGCAGCCTTTACAAGAAATGTGCCTCTTAGGAAGCATCATCAAAATGGAACAGGTGTACACGGTGGAATTGGCTAACCTTTGGGAAAGCTTAAAACCAGGTACTCATTTTGATAGGCTGCAGAAAATCAAAGTTCTCTCTGGAGGAAAGGAGCTGATCCCTCACCTCACCCCCAGCTACAAAAAAGCAAAGAAATTTTAAATCCTGTACATAAAGCTTTATTACTCTCAACATATTAAATACTTTTGAGTTAATTTTATAATAGCTGTCTAAAATACACAGAAATATACAAAGAAAATAAGCAAATTCATTGACTGTTACATAATATCAATAATTATATCTTATACACTGAAATAGTTACTAACACTTTCATTTGCAATTAAATAAACTAAAATGTTAGCAAAAGCTATTCATTCAATACATCAACTGTTACCAAATTAACAGGTCTCTGTATTCATTAACTCTTATATTTCATCCTGTTCATTTTGCTTTTAAGTTTATAATGCATTCAGTTACATAATTAAAACACTGAGGATTCTGTGACACATTCATTAAACATAATAATGTAATCATAAATCGTGGCCAAAAGCTTCTGCATTAATAACCAATACTATATTTTGAGATGACTAGGAAAATAAACTCTGCAAAAGGGTCATTTCTGTCTCCCTAGTGTCAATCCTGCATTACAGGATTTGAGAAAATAAAACAACTAACAACCCTAACTTGTAGGTTGGCTCTTTGGAAAAAAAAAAAGGAAAACGAAGAGTTTAGTAACATCAGAAATGTGCAAGAATTGTTCTTTCAGCTAGGAGCGGCAAGCACACTGTAAAATGCCTCCATTCTTCCTGCTCAAATAAAAAGTTCCCAGCTTCAGCTTTACCTGTGCACCACAGACAGACAGACAGACAGACACACACACACACACACACACACACACACACGCGGAAATCTTGGTTCCACCCTAATCACTAACCCACCGGGTTGAAAATTGAGGTGGGAGGAGAGGCAGGGAGTCCCTAAGGGTGTGGAACACTTGCAAGGGGAAAAGGACGGGGCCATCATTCCCTTCGCGTTCCCATCTCCTTTCTGGCTGAGACCTGCAGATTCCACCACTAGAAAGAGTTTGGCAGCTTCACAATGGGGCCGTTGCTGGAGGTCTGACTGCCACCCCCCTCGAAACCCCTCTCCTCCGCTTCCCACCTGCCCCAAAGTCCACCCGCGACAGGTGGGGCGAGGGCGGCAATGCCCGACGACATCTGCCGCTTACGCTTCTGGCTCGGACCGGGCCCCAATCCACACGCTCGCACGCGGCCACAGCCGGCCAGTCCACCCCCACTGCACCAGCGGACACTCGGAGGGCGCGGGCGGCCTCGCACCGGGTTGCAACCCGGGCGAGGAGGGTTGGCGAGATCAGGCCGCCGGGGCTCGCCCTGAGGTGCTATCTGACCCGGGCAGTCGCACCCTGAGCGCTGCCGGGCATGCAGCCAAAGGCGCACCAGGCAAAGGAAAGCTACTTCTCAATGGGGCCTCCAGGCCCGCTGCCCCGCGGTGCGGGAACGGCGGCCAAGGGAGGGAGCGAGTATGCGCGCCAACGCGCCCCGACTTCCGCACCGCGGCACCGCGGGAGAGGCGCTCTGGGTCGCCGAGTCCCCGCACCTCCCCAGCGAGCGCACGACGCGCGCACACGGGGGCGCACGCCCCCGCACACTCACACGCGCTGCACACTCACAGCGTCTCCGGCCCCACCCCTGTGCCAGGGAACCGCAAGCTCCCCGCACCCCGCGCGGGCCCCACCCAGTTTACCAGACCCCAGTCCCCTTCGGGTGCCTGGGAACCGGTCCACCGAGGCCATGGGACGCTGGGGCCGCCCCGCCGCCCATCGCAGAAGCTGGTCCGGCCGGGTTTCCCCAGCACCGCGGGCATCGTGCACCCGGCCCAGACACGAGGCGGAGAGGAAGGGGCGGCGCCGCGATTGGGGCTGGCACTGGGGATCGGAGACTGGGGCAAACCCGCTACTCCCCCAATCACCCCATAACCACCACCTTTTCTGCGGCACAAAAGGTTACAGACGGAACCGCCGTCCCCGTGCAACCTACCGATGGCCCAGGGCTCCGCTGCCTCCGCCGTGCCCGGGGCCGCGGAGCCGGAGACAGGGGTGGGAGAGGCGCAGGACTGCGGCGCCGAGATCCTGGCAGAGGCCGCCAGCCGAGCCAGCCGGGTACCCTCTCCTCTCCCACCGCGCTCGGCGCCAGCTACCGCCCCGCGTAGTCCCCGCCCCCTCCTCCTCCTCCGCCTCCTCCGCCTCCTCCTCCGCCTCCACCTCCGCCTGCCTTCCCGCCTCCTCCCTCTGGCTGCAGAGGCGCAGCCCGTCAGCGCTGAGCCCGCCTCCTGCGCCCAGCTCTAAGACACCCGGAGGAAGGGCGGGCCGGCGGGCTGGAGAAAGGCGCTAAGAGGCCAGAACAAGTTGGCGGGGGTGGGCGGGGTTGTTGACTGGTGGTGGGGAGGAGGAGTCCTAACACCAGCTCTCTAGTCTAAACCCCGCACTCCAACTAAAGAGCTCCAACTTGCGGGCCTGGGAACACTCCGGCTTCCTCAATTAAGTGGTGTGCTGATATTTGTCGCTTGTGAGTCTCTGCTTAAAGGGCTCAGCACTGAGCAGAAGTACAGAAAACTAGAATAGGCCATGAAATTAAAAATTATAGGGTCAGTCTACAAAAACTCCTAAAATCCAGTGAAGGTGGCGCGAGGGGGGAAGGTGGGGAACTTCAAATTCAGATTCCGATTGGATTAACTGTTTTTTAATTTGCACAAATGTTGATCTTGTCTATTACGGTAATAAATTATTTTCTTTGATGAAGATTTTCTTCTCTCAATTCATGTACATCTCTGCCAAACTGGTTAAGCTCAGCAATAAGAATATTTACTGGCATGCATATTCAAATTTACATCTCTCAATAACTATTCTATGAGGAAGTAACCAATTATGATCCACATTTTAAAGATGCAGAAAGTTTAGGTCATATGCCTACTAAGTGGCTAAGGCTGAATATATACGCAGTCAGTGAACCCCGAAATTGTTTATAAGTGTTATAAGTAAGTTTCGGTCCCATTGTCAAATCAAGAGAGTTTGTTATTTTTTAAGACAAAATGCTTTATATGAACATAAAAGACATAAATCTGGAGTAGATTAATACAAGTTAAAACAAGTCTTGACTCACACTTGTTCCAGAATCTACATATGTTCCTGATAATATAAAGGCAAAAAATATATAAACATCTCTAGTTCAACAGAACGACTCCTGGAGGCTGCTCAGCTATAAGACATTTTATGCTACTGCTTATGTGCCCTAAAATAAGTACAGGAAGGTAGAGGGAAGAGTAAGTTTTAAGGAATGTTCCCTAAACAATTTTAGAAAACATCAGGTCCTTTTTTTTCTGCAACAGAGATTTGTATGTAATTTCAAAAATATAGAAGCTAGCACAACATAATATGAATAAATAAATGAAGAAACTTTTTGCATCAGTACATTAGGAGAACACACTGAAAATTATTTCTGATTATAATCTGTTTGACACAATAGTGTATTGTCCTGATGATCATTCTCATAAAACCACCTCCAAAACATTGTATATTTTATATTGAGACTTAATTTCATTTCTTCTTGTCTGAAATCTTATAACATTTTCAGAAGAATGTCTTGTACTTGCCCTTTGCTCTGAGAGTTTGGCAGTGTTCTTTGGCCAAAAGCAATAAAGTTCCCCCTCTTAGTTTATTAGGCTCAAGGCTGGCTCTCTTGAGGTCATTGTCTCCAAATTGCCTCCCTCCCTGGGTGGTGCTCTATGCTCCCATCCTAACCCTGACTCTTCACCCAATCAGAACTTCAGTCAGTTCTTGAGTGTCACAAAGAACACCTAATAAACCAATTCACCAGGCAGTAATGGTTTATGTGTGGCCCCATCAAGGATATGTTTATGCCACCTAGAGATGCTGACTGGGTACTGTCTTCACTCGGATTGGATGTGGGCTGCAAGGGCCGTGCCTGAGGGGCATATAAGGGGTGCAAGTTAATGCAGAATCCCTTCCCCAAGCTTTTTAGTGTTTTATGAAGATCTCTTTAATCTATAAAGACAAATGGCATACATATAAAGGGTTAGGCCCAAATGTAGAATAGACCGTAAGCCCTGAAAGGCCTTCTGAATCTGGGGACTCAGAAACTCCATCTCACACATTCTTTGTGTAAGTTGTGTCTTTGCCTCAAGGCATCCTTTCCAGAAAATCACTTTAAAATGACTTTAAAATGTCAGTTGTCTGGGAAATATTATACTACGTTGATGTAAATGATGTCAGCTAGCAAACAACCAGCTTGAGAGCACAGAATAGGTGAAGTTGATAGCAACATAATGATGTAAAACAGAATCTACAAAGCCAGGAATACCACAATGTGCAAGAAATACCACATTGCCTTCTTTTCTGTAAACTGATTTGTTTCAGGCAGGGTCTAACCAGGAAAACAGAAACCATTTTGAATATCTACAGAAGTAATTGAATGCAAGAAATTGGTAACATAGGTGATAGAAATAGTCAGAAGGTAATCAGGAGATGGCACAGGAACCTAGAAATTAGCAACTGCAGCCTCTAGCTGGAGAAATAAGAGAAGAGGCAGGGTTATTGGAGTCCAGGGCCCAGGCAGCATGGCCAGCCTGGTGAGAGCTGTGGCCATAGAGGAGAAACAACCACTGCCAAAGAAGCAATCTATGGAGGGAGAAGGGGGAAATGTACTATGCGTTCTCCTCTCCTGCCCTCCAATCTCCTTCCAGTGCCTTGCATTGGCAAAGTGTGACACACCTGCCATGGGAGCCAGGGGAAAAAACCTACAGGGATCAGCCCTTTGAGACACCAAGGAGACTAGGAGAAGAACGTAGAATGTGAATCTGCACACGATTTTATTTCTCTTTAAAGGCCTTACTCTTTTGTAAAGTTCTTCCCTCACTTCCGTGAGCAGGGTCAAAGTTCCAAGAGCATATGCCAGACCAGGCCATGAGTGGGTGATGATGGCAGGGAGTGGAGGGGAGGTCCTTTGGTTTGCAGTCATCTGTCCCAGAGCTTTCCTTTGTTCCTTCCTGGAGCTGCCACCTATGGCTCCATGATAGAGTGCACAACCTGTCTGTAGATCGGACAGCCCTGCCCTATATACTGGTTCCTTCCCTTTGGCTCCAGCACCACAGCTGAGGCCAGAGGAATTTCCCAGATCTGGGACCATTCTGCTAAGCCTCACACATCCTCAGTCATTTATGTTTAGGGTATTATGGTGGTCCAAGTTCACGGCTCAAATCCCACTGCCTTGGGGCATGCTGACTTCTATCTTCTTCTTTCCAGATACAAGGGAATCTCTTCTTAAGGAAAATCCTTCCTCTTTATTTATTTTTCCCCAGACACTCTGCCATTGCCAGCAAACTCTATTCTGTCTCTGGGACTTAGGCTGTTTTCAGTAAAAGCCAGAACGAAAAAATGTTCTGCAGGCAACTCCTCTTTACCCTGCCACATCTCTCGCCACGGCAACAAGGGGGTAAATACAAGTTGGAAAAAAAAATCATAAATTAGTGTCTCAAAATATTATCCAGCCATAGAAGTAAGAGACAGTTAGTACTGTGGACCAAGCTGAGGAGGAGAAAGGTGGAAGGAGCTTACTTTGGAATATGTTGATTTGGTGGCTCTGTGGCACATCCTCATGGAGGTGTCAAGCCGAAGGCCAGATGTGTGGAGTGGGTGCTCAGGAGGGAAATGCAGGCTGCCCTTCAGCTCTTGCCAGACCACTTCTAATTCCACACTCGCATTCTGCTTATTCATTACTTAAGCCTGTACATAATTGTTTCCTGTGGAGCATTCTTCTCCACCCCTCCCCCTCAGTCTGACTAATTCTTTGCCATTCCTCGGATGTCAGTGTAGATGTCACCACCTCTAAGAAGAGTTTAATGATTCCTATTGATATTTCTCCTTTCCCTAGCCTAATACCACACAGTGCTGAAATATACTATCTCCCCCTCTAGCCTATACATTCCCTGAGGTCATGGACTATGTCTAATCCCCAAAGAAAGCCCAGAGACTGACATAAAACAGGTGCCCAGTAAATATTTAGCCTATTTTTACTGTGAGGAGTGGGAGAAGAACCTGTAGGTGAGGTCTGCCGAAGGCAGCTTGTATCTTGTATCTGGCTCAGAAGTACTGATTGCTAAATTTTTAAGAACTTTGCAAACTGGTTGTTAAATCATCAGTAGCCTGAAATCAGCATGGTAGGATTATTTACACCACATAAATTGGCAAATTCTATAAACAGGGCTTCCCGTTCCTCTCCAATCTCCCCCCCACCCCCGAAAGCCAGTTTACCAGCATACCATTTGGTAATCTTCAAGGGGCCCCTCCTGTGTGCGGAGGAGGAAAGCAGGTCAGATAATTAAAATCTGTGCTTTTAGAAATATTCTTTCATAGAAAGAAAATGTAATTAAATTCCATAATTTGCATAGAAAAACCTATTTAACTCAATTGTATCAATAAAAAATAAGATAGGAAGTAGAGAAAGGAAACAGAAAAATATAAAAGCATTAGAAACAACACAGAGAAATCACTTCTCAATTCCAGCTTGCTGTGGGACCTCCAG